CCCCCCCCACCACTTCCCCGCTCCGAGAGATGCTTCTTCGGATCAAAAGCGCCGGCTTCGGATTAAAGAGACGTACGCTTTCTCTAGACGGTGTGAAGAAAAGAGAGATGGACCGTTTGTACTCCGGTATCTGAGAGCGGCGGCAGCGAGCGGCAGACCGCTGCGGTACAGAGGTAATTACACGGCTCCGTCCGCCTTTGAGTCCCTTTCGGATAATAACCCCCCTCTGCGGGGAGCCAGGAGTGCCGTTCTGTGGGTGCCGACCGGAGCGCTCGGTCCCCCGTCACGGAGAGCCGGGGCTGGCGGGAGCAGGTGGACCCGGGGCTCCGCTTCCTGCGTCCACGGAGTCGGACGGGCGGCGGGGGCCGTGTGTGTTGGTGTGTGTGTGCGCCCAGTGCATTTCAGACGCGGCGGCGGGCTGAGGCGACTGCGGCATTGCTGTGGAAAATGCGAGTCGTGGTGGGGCTGGCGAAGAGGGGCTCGGCGCCCCAGCCGCTGTCGGGGTGGTTTAGGCACTTGCACGGCGGTAGGTTTTAAGTCCGAAAAGCCGACATGAGATTACTATGAATCATACGCCGTCTTAACTCGGTGCGTGCGTGTGTGTGTGTGTGTTTGCGCGATGTGGGCTGTGTGTGTGTGTGCTGGCGTGTTCGCGGTGGTGAATGCCAATGTACAGAGCCTCTTTTTTTTCCCCCGTTATCCTGCCTGTCAATGGGGGAGTTCATCAGCTTCGCGATCCGCAGGATACGATCTCTCACACGGTCTGCAGGACGCCCTCGGCGAGGCGGTGGTTGTTGAGGAGCCGAGCAGAGCGTGTGTTTGTGTATGTGTACATGCATGTGTGTACGTCGGGAGACGCGTGTTCTTTGAAAGGGGCTGCAGGCTGTGATCGCATTGTTTTATCGCGCACCCCGGAAGTACTCCGCGCAGCCGACTTCAAACAGGGGGTGATCTCGCCTGTTTGATAAGGGGAGGGAATGGACGCGCTTGACGGATGTCTGTCGCTTCAGGTCGTTACCTGTCACTCGGCTGAAACAGGAACTGAGCAACAGGAACAGTAGCTGCGATATGGTACGATAATCTGTCAAAACTCAGCATCATTCGAGGTTAAAATGAGGTTTCACTACTGTCGCGTCTTAACTGCTGAGAACCGGGCTCGGTTATGTTTGTATGTGTGTAGATATAATTGGTTTATCCCTGACCGGATTTGCTTTACAACAGTTACACTACAAGTAAGTGGATAGACGTCTATGTGTCTGCCTCTGTTTTCCTCCGTGTGTCTGCGAACAAGTATGATTTAAACGGATGGATAGGGATCTTGAATGAGATTCTGGTCAAAGAAACAA